TTTTATCTTCGAATTGATATCTAGTAAAGCGAATGGAAATACGTGCTCTCATTAGGGTAGGAAATGATTAAATTTCAAGCATGTACTTCAGTAGGGGTGGTAGTCTTCTATTGATTCCCTTAAACGGTTTGTGGTGGTGATATAATCTGTTTGTGTTCACCACCATTACGCAACCATTCATCCATTGTCTGAGGTGGGTAACTGTCTCCACCCTACATAAATTGGACTCCATTGGACACGGCTTCTCACTGGAACTCCAGGAAATCCATCTTGAAGCTAGTCATTAGTGATCATGGGTCGGTTGGAGTTAGACATTAACAGTGTTGGATGCCCGCTCAGTGGTCTAGAGGCTAGGCATTCACACGCAAAGCTGAAGGTCCTGGGATCGAGTTTCACGTACGGGATCGCGGATGTGGATTGTTCGGGTGTCTCATACTAGGACCAAACGTCCGTGCAGTGCTTCAAGGTTTTCAACAGTGGTCTAACTTAGATTGACTCGTGAATTCGACTGTTTAAACGCATTTCGCTAGAAGTTGCATGAGTCAAACAAAATTTTATGATTATCAGTAAATCATAAATTATTAAACTTTTCGTTCAATACTTCAGAAATTATATTACGTTTGTAAAAGAAATTAATTCTAAGCGAAATCAATAAAGTGAATAATTTGGAAGGATAGAATTATCAAGAAATACAGCGACAATATTAGTTAAACAGTTCAATAACCTATGCAAAAATGGATAGTGACTAGCAGTGGGATCCAGGACAAAACGCGTTTCGTCCTATTTGGGACTCGTCAACTATATGTACCTGCATCCTGCAGATGATGTCCACTGTGGGGCGCGAACCCAGTACCATTCGCTTCAAACCCCATCGCGTTATTCACTTAGCTACTGAATCGTGATAACCGCTTGTTTTACTTGAATCTTATAATGCTTGTGACTTAATGCAATATCGAGGCAATACACACAGTATACATATATACCAATAAGAGACTGATCAATTGCAGTCCTAAATAACAATGGGAAGATTCAAGTAAACTATACCAAGTGAATTTAAACTTCTCCTCATTACACAAGTAAATGGCTGTCAGGACTTAGTAATTAAGTGAATAATGCGATAGTGTATGAAGCGAACAGTACTGGATTCGAGTTCTGAAGTGAACATCAACTCTAGGATGTAGGGTACATCCAGTTGACGAGTCCCAAATAGGACGAAACGCGTATCGTGTATTCTACTGCTGGCTACTATCCATCTTTGCTTATAATATTTGTGATCAGGCAATATCGAAGCAATACGCACAATATGCATATATACCAACAAGAGACTGATCAGTTGCAGTCCTAAAGACATCAATGGGAAGATACAACACCAGGTGAATTGATTAGTTTAGTTGTAATTTTACACTTCATATTGGTAATAATAATAATCCATATAGCTATTTAGATAGATAATAATTTTAATGACAGAAAACTATGAATTATGTATTTTATCGGTAATACAATTGATTTATTTTCATTCTTAATCAACTAACTTGTACTTTGATGTTATTACACTAAGCGAAATTAATTGGCTAATGTATATTATCGTTACGTTTTTATTTAGAATAAGAGTAACTATAGGCGCGAAAATAATGATTAAACAAATTCTCAAAATTGTTCACAGCTTATACATATGTGCCACACAAGTCATTTGATACTACTCAGGTACCAAATCCGAAGAAGATGGTTTTCTTAGGAGGCCACACCTGGAGCTTTCGATCTAAAAGTTTGATCCATAAGATAGTAGAACAACGTAAGTAGATGTAGTCTCATGGTAACTGGTGACCAGAGATAGGTTCATATTTCGTTTGTTCTCTCAGGATCCTGGAGGTCATGTGCACCATTGGTTTGGAATTTTCTGTGTCCATTAATCTGGTTAAAGCACTGGGCATTCGCTTTTCATCCTTTCAATTTCGTAAACAACATTAATGTCGCGAGAAATCAGTAAGTAGAACTTCTATGCGTGAGCATTTCGAGTGGAAGAGTGGTCTCTCTCCACCTTTCGCCGTACCAGTGCATTTGGGGACACCTTGAATTGTGAATAATCTATACTTGGAAAATCATAATTAAAAAAAACGTTCTATCACATTCATAGAAGTTTACTAATCAAGCTCCAAATATAGCATACAGTTGTGACAACACAAGATAAAAAATGTGATTGACAGTAATTTGAATTTGATACATTTGTCACTGAAGATGTGTAGTGAACAGAACACGGGTGGTTGGTAAAGTAGAAAAAACCATACTATGATACCTAATTTGCAAAATGTTCAATAATTGTCTCAAACTTCATTGTTCTTGCATTTCCATACTAATCGATTTCTATTCCCGCTCTTCCTTTCCTGATCTTCTCCATCTTCTGCTGCCAGACATTACATTCCTGACTCGCATCACATACTGCTTATATCAATATAAGTAACACGCACCTCATGTGTACATTGTTTATCAGTTCTAGACTGTTAGCTATCCAATGACATCGTATTTTCATTGATTATGTTTAGATAAAGTCAATCTATCATATGAATTGTTTTCAGTTAATTAATAGAATCACGGAAAGATTGATAAGAGCATTAAGATAAGAAATTTCAATAATAATAAGAACAATGTAATAGATACTTACTTACTTACGCCTGTTACTCCTCGTGAAGGAACATAGGCCGCTCACCGGCATTCTCTATCCAACCCTGTTCTGGACAATCCTTTCGAGCTCCTTCCAGTTGTTATTCATCCTTTCCATATCTGCTTTTATTTCCCGACGTAATGTGTTCTTTGGCCTTCCTCTTTTCCGCCCTCCTTCGGGATTCCAAGTTAGGGCTTGTCTCGTGATGCAGTTTGACGATTTGCGTAATGTATGTCCTATTCATTTCAATCGTCTTTTCCTAATTTCCTCTTCAGCTGGAAGTTGGTTTGTTCTCTCCCACAGAAGGCTGTTGCTGATGGTATCCGGCCAAAAGATGTTGAGTATCTTGCGTAGACAGCTATTCATAAATACTTGCACCTTCTTGATGATGGTTATTGTAGTTCTCCAAGTTTCAGCTCCGTACAGTAGAACTGTGTTGATAGTCGTATTGAACATTGTGACTTTGATATTGGTTGAAATTTGTTTTGAGTTCCATATGTAATAGATAGTGCAAGTATAACTTCAGAAATTAAATAGTTCAAAACTGTAAATTACTTGTATCTTCCCATTGATATTTAGAACTGCAATTGATCAGTCTCACGTTGGCATATGTGCATCTTGTGCGGACTGCCTCAATATTGTCTGAAGACACAAGCTTTCTGAACAAAGATGGATAGTGGCTAGCAGTGGGATCCAGGACGCGTATTTCGTTTTATTTGGGACTCGTCAACTGGATGTACCTGCATCTCAGAGTTGATGTTCACCCTGGGACTCAGTAGCTATGTGGATAACGCGATGGCGTTTGAAGCGAACGGTACTGCGTTCGAATGCTGAAGTGAGCATCAACTCAGATGTAAGTACATCCAGTTGACGAGTCCCAAATAAGACGAAACGCGCATCCCTGATTCTACTGCTAGCCACTATCTATCTTTGCTTATTCAGATAAATTGTAAGAAAGAGGACAGCTCCAGTGTACAAAAAGTAATACAAAATATAATTCAAATTATTGATAATGATGTCTTGTTTATTCCATGATTATTTCAAAACATATTGATACCATATCTACTACCAACAAACAAATGAAAAATGATAGTACTGTAAGACCGAAGGTTCTGCGTTCAAATTTCGCGTTCATGATCTTGAATGTGCACTGTTGAGGAGTCTCGTACTAAGACGAAACGACTGTCCAATGATTCCAGGTTTTCCATGGTAGTCCAACTTTAATCGACTCATCAATTCAACTCTTAGAAATTTTCGCTTAGTCTCATAATTGGAGTATTGTTTGATTAAACTATCTGTTACACATATTCAGAATAAAATTTAAAATGATTTGCCAATATTGATAATAGAACTATCAGATACCGAATTCAAATGTTTTCCCATTAAAACTATTTGTAAATATATGCTTTGTACTCTAAGTCACATCTTTCAATTTCTACTTAATGTAACTTATTATTATAAGTATGAATACCAAGGTTTGAACTTGATATAGATTAAGATAGAGAGTTAATAATACATAAATTTATGTTAGATCTCAATGAGTAAAAAAATTGTATTTTTGACGTTTCGTCACTTAATGTAAGCTACTTCTTCAGAGTAAGTAAAAATTACCGACATTAAATTAATACAAGTTTAAATAGTGTTGATTTAAAGTCGTTTTTTTATTGAGATCATGAGTCGATTGATATTAGATCACTAGTTAAAACCTTGAAGTACTGGATGGTTATTTATTTATTCTGAGGAAGTAGCTTAAATTAAGTCACGAAATGTTAGAAATATAATTCTCCTACTCATCGGGATATAACAAAATTATATTTATTATTAACTTATTACTTTTGTCGGCTAAGTTTATTGTGGATGGTTTATTTATGTATTCAATTCTTCTTACTTTTCTTCGTATCTTTTATTCAGTTGTAAACTGTTACAACGCTTTACTGTTACTTACGCTTTTTACCCCTCATGGAGGAGAATAGACTGCCCATCAGCATTCTCCACACAACTTTATCCTGAACAATCTTTCCCAGTTGATTCCAGTTGCTATTCATCCTTTTTATGTCTGTTTCCGATTCCCTACGCAGTGTGTTATTTGATCTTCCTCATTTCCGTTTTCTTCTATGATTCCAAGTTAGCACTTGCCCTTATGATACAGTTTGATGCTTTCTGTAATAATTGTCCTATCCACTTCCAACATCTTTACCTAATTTCCTCTTCATCTGGAACCTGGGTTGTTCTCTCCCACACTAGGTTGTTGCTGATGGTATCTTGTGTAGACAATTGTTTATAAATACTTGTACCTTTTTGATGTTATCAAATAACTATTCACCTATTTTTTCTTTTATAGGTGTTGACAAACTATTGGATTGTGTTGAACAACGATCTACAGATTATGATTGTCCAATTTATTTTGTAAGAGATGATTATTTAGCTCGTAAGGTCAGTGCCAGTACTTCACTATATGTTTTTGTTCTTATGAATATTTATTATTTAGACTATCGTTCTATGTCGTTTGTCAAGTTGAAAATAATATATTATTGAGATCATTTGATAAGCCATCGATACTAATACTCGTACTACTATGGCAGGTTCTAAATCATCTTTGATGAGTTCTAAAGCTAATGAGTTGGTGTACTTATTGGATTCCGTTTAGCGCTTTGTGATGGACTAGGGGATTATAGTTTTCTCAATAACTTCTGTGTCATGAACCGATAACGTCCTAACTTCTACCATACACTTCAAGCGTTGGTGCAGTATAGGAGCACTTAATGATGTGCGTTAAATATGAACAAGCCATGAAAATGAGCACTGTAAAACACTAACCCACATTAAACTGTCAACTTTGTCAATGCGGAATACATTCTCTCAGACCACTTGATTATTCGTACAGTGTTTACACCTGATGTAAGTAATCTCAATTAGACAACTACAATCGAACCCAAATAGTTACATAACTTTCTTAACTGTGTGTGGTTTGGAATGAGGGTGGGTCCACCAACCCAGTTTAAGCACACAAATTGAATGATTTATGTGGTGCATATTTGTTTGGTGCCTCCTTGTAACAATGTTTATATGTTTGAATAGTGATAATAATAATAATAATAATAATAATAATAATTTTTGATAAAATCACTTCAGGTTGTCGAACCTGAAATCATACATTGAATACATTATTTGCACACCCTCCCTTAGTTGTAGCGTACGTTCTTCATGATTCTTCCAATCTTGCTGTTATTACGATTGCTTCCTACTTCCCTTCCTGTTTCGTTGATCTGACGTTCTGCTAACAGATATTCCATTTTCAATTTCTGCTATATACTACTTATGTCTGTCCGCATAAAGAGCATGTATGCTGCTACCTTGAAGTTGTGGTCGGGCTTCCCTATCGTGGTGAACCAATCGAGCTGTACTGGCTTGAACAATCGTTTCCAGTTCTACTGAAGAGTGGTAACAATAATAGCAGCAAACCCAAAATCCAGGGGTGAAGTCGTACTGCTGACTCTGCAGAGGTGTGATGGCAGTAAGGTGTTTCCTTCAGGAAACCAGCATAACAGCGATGCTGCCTTCACTCAAGGAGAGGTGGGGTTAGAAAACGTCAACCCTTAAATGCACACTCCGCCTTATCCCACGGATATCCGTCCCGGTGGTAAAGTCTGAACAATTACGGAGCTAACACGAAAATTACTCACAAAAAGGTCGTGTGTGACCGACCTCAAGCAGTTGTCCCTTGGGCATTTAGGTCACGCTCTCAGGCCACTAAGATCACCTCTAACCCTATTTCGTTTTCAGATACCTTCAGAATAACTTTATGTTATAAAGCTTTAATATTGTCTGAATAAACTGTTTGTAAGCAAATTTTTATGATAATTATGTTTATATTCGGTTAGTTCTGTTTTTCATTCTGCCTGTTTTTTTCATTTTAAATAAAAAAACTCCATTGTAGTATGCCGGTTTCTCTATACCAGCTGAATTGGAAAAATTATTACCAGAAATGCATAAATTATGCTCAGAAGAATTATTGCATGAATTTCTAGGCAAACAAAAGTAGGTCAATTCTTTTGTATTATTCAATTTTTGATTAAGATCATGAACCGATTAATGTTAGACCACTATTGAAAACCTGGAAGCACTGGACGGCCGTTTCGTTCTGTTGTAAGACTCAGCATTATGCATCTACCATCCCGCTCGCAAGTTCAGTGGTTTAGAGGTTAAGCGTTTACGCTCGAGACCGAAGGCCTCGGGTTCGAACCCAGGGTCTTAAGTTCATGATCTCAATCTAAAACAATAATCTGCACAACCCCATACTGATATTCAATTTTTATTTGTTTAAATAATTATGTAGTTTCCTTTTTTCCCAGTCAAATTTGAAATGTCTTCAAATGTAGTTTATCCAGCTGTAAACTGGATAATGAGTTGTTCTAAAGAATAACCAATTTATTTTCATCTCATCACAATGACATAGGTGTATACACTCTTTTCTTTGTCTTCACTTAAATCATGAGATTAAAATTGCTTAATATCGTTCTTTATGTGAACTAATTCTTTCTTCCTGTTTTACATCCCTATACACAATCTTTCTTTTATATATTACTATAATTGAATTACCTACTTCTATGAATTCGTTATTCACCTTGTTGTACTAATTGAGTGAAGTTAGATGGTGGTTAGAGGTAGTCAACAGGAAACCGTGGACCCAGGTTAGCCACATTGCAACTTGGTCAATAGCATTCGATCTGCACTAAGAAGGACTTGACACACATGACGTTGATCACCACTCAGTGATCAATCAATTGTGATTAATGAGTGAGGTGTAGCAACTTTAAACGTTGGATATATATGCCTGATCCTGCGTTGTAGCTGACTAACTGACTGACTATAAAGTAGAAAAAATGATATCAAATTATTCTAGAATGTACTTACAATGCAAAAGAATAAGATTTTGTTCATGATACATTGAGTTTATGACGAATATAAATGTTTGAATTGAATAGATAACAATAGTGAAGATATACGTGGCACAAGTCCATGAAGTCACTGACAAGTGGACTGAGCCATGTTGGTAGGTGTAGACTATCTGGTTGGGGACCGTGAGATGATAGCGACCGATGGTTAGAGACCCTGAATGACATGGCTCAAAATCGTTTGCAATGGCACAGGTGCATACATTCTTTATGTTCTGAATTCTTCATGTTTCTTCTTTTTTTCTTTGCAAATTTATTTCACTGGACTATACTCCTTGAATAACATCTTCAAAGCCTAATGCTTCCGATTACTGCTTATACTCTTACTACCTCTACCACTGTGGGATTTGAATCGACATTTGTATCTGTGTGTTAATGTGGTATGGCAACTCGAATTGATGTACGTACAATTTATATTAACAGCTTATAAACAAATTAATAAGGTTATAGACCTAAGTCATTATATGAAGTGATTGTAATACCTTACACTTACCTTAACTTGAAATAGTCGTTTTCATAAGTGTATATTAAGAAAAAGCTAAGAGTGTACGAATATAGGCTTAAGATTACTGTGCAAACTTATCGCTTTTTAGACTAAGGCTTGTACATAGTAAAGTTGCATATATCCTGGTTACTTCCTGGCTCAAAAAATGGTTGCCTTGTAATAGATATATTTATCCTTGCATTCTATTTCAATGTCACAACTATTGCTACTACTACTGTAGTGGACAAAAGCACAACTGGGAGCAATCGAATGTGTTTGAACACAGAATTAGTTAACATCTTATTAAAATCTGGGAGCCATATATACTAAATACTTCATTTGCAAAATACCAATTCATTGTTTCAAACTTGACTATTCTTTTTGCAAATATCAGTTCATTGTTCCTGCATTTTCATCTCAATTGTTTTCCTTCTCGATCTTCTATTGAAATACATTCTCTTCCTGACTATCGTTATATACTACTTATATTGTTATAAGTAACTCATACCCCACTACTACTATTTGTGAATCTCTTTTGTCTTTCATCCTTTAAATAATTACCTTTTTCTTTGCACTAATATAAAATATGTATTTACATAATAATTTATTATCTATTATGTATATATCTATATATTACTCCATACTTCCAAGGGCTCTCTCTATATATATATACCTGTTCCCATCACATTGTGATGAAATATTATTCGAATTAGTTCTGATTATATGTAGTTTACGTAATTGAATAACACGTATACTATACATCATATGAAATAATAATGTTCTTTCTCTATATTCACATGGTTAACAAAGAAAAAAAATAGCAAAGCAAACATAGAAAACAGCATAAGATAAATCATGACATTGTGTATCAAACTGGGAAGGGGGCTTTCAATTACTGAAATCATACCTTCTTATATATACTACAGACTTATACTTCGATACTTTTGCTTTGTCTCTATGTACTACGTTATACACCTATGAAACGTGCTTCTTTCTTTCTTTTTTCTGTAGGAATAGATTGTATTTTTTCTAAGGCTATGCATATCCTATAACTTATTCCATATACATTATATGTGTGAAAATTATATTTGAAATAATCTCAGCGATTGTAATTTAAAAAAAACAATTACAATGTTTCATCCAGCTAACTTATCTGAACTTCTTCAGGGTAGAATAATCAAAATCATCAAAGAAATATATAGCTTTTTCAACAGTTGAGATCATGAGACAATTGAGGCTAGACTATCATGGAAGGCCTGTAAGCACTGGACGGCTGTTTTGTCCTTTTGTCGGACTCCTCAGCCTCAATTGACTTATGATCTCAACTGTTGAAATTGCTACAATCTCCACAAAACCCATTCTGATAATAATTTTCTGCTCGCTAGTGACTCACTTCAAGAGATACTCATGGAGTTCTAATGAGAAGCCGTTACCAGTGGAGTTCAACCAGGTCTGTTGTGAGATAACAACTCACTGAAGAAAATGGTGTACGGTGGCGCAATTTCGTCGATTGGTTGAAGTTAGATATTAACACCGTTGGATGCCGGCTCAGTGGTCTAGTTGGTTAAGCGCTTGGCACAAGACTGATAAGTCCTGGGTTCGAATGTCTCGGGAGGCGGGATCGTTGGTACGCACTGTTGAAGAGTGCCATACTAGGGCAAAACGGCCGTTCAGTGCTTCCACATTTTCCATAGTGGTCTAGCTTCAATTGACTCATGATCTCAACTGTTGAAATTACTACAATCTTCACAAAACCCCTTCTGATATAGCTTTTTAATGATCAAAACTATACTGTGTTACACCAATCAAAATTTGGATGTTGATTTTTTTTGTAAAATAGGGATAAAACGAGGCGGTTAACTACAAATCATGTGAAAAAATTCAACTACATGGAAAATAATTAACTGAATAAACAAATTGTATGTGTGTGAGTGTGTAGGTATGTAGGTATGTGTGAGATGAATTATTGATATTCTGTGTTGATATGGGATATATGAAGGAATAGATAAATAAAAGTACAAGTTCAAGGTTGATAAAACTGTTAATGAATCGTCGTTGTACATGTCAAACAAATACCTAAATTGTATTGCTAAAAAACTCATTGAAATCAGTCGAAAATAACGCTTACCAGAAGGGGTTTGTAGAGATTTTAGAAATTTCACAGATTGCGATCATGAGTCAATTGAAGCTAGACCACCATGGAGAACGTGGAAGCACTGGATTGCCGTTTCGTCCTATTGTGGAACTCCTCGGCAGTGCGCACTCACGATCCCACACCCCGCGAGATTCGAACCCAGGACCTTTCAGTCTCTCGCCAAGCGCTTAACCAACTAGACCACTGAGCTGGCAGGGACCCAATGTTGTTAATGTCTAACTGCTGAGAAGTCCCAAACTAGAGAGAAACGGCCGTCCAGGTTTTCCATGGTGGTCTAGCTTCAATTGACTCATGATTTCAATCTGTAAAAAATAACGATGCATGAGAAATAAACAGGTTGAATAAAGATAAGTGTTCAAACGAAATTTGCCAGGTAGTCAACAGTTGAATACCATCTTTTCGGTTTAGGCTGTTCTTGTTCGCCCATATATATACAGAGCTTCTGCTGTCAATCTTTCTTTATGGGTGTTAAAACCTTTCTGTAGTACTTTGGTCCTTTCAAAATTAATCTTGTTTCCTGTTTCTAATGCATGTAACGCTATTGCAGACTTATTCTCAAATTTCTTCAAATCAACCGAGGATTTGGGACACATTTTTCAAACATTGTTTGCGTTCCTTCAATCTTACATTCAATTGTCTAGATGTTTCTCCAACAAAGGCTGCATTACAATCATGTCAGTTGATCTCATACACAATATTCTATTGTTCTTCCTTTGGTAACCTGTCCTTAACTTTCACTAATGTCGATCTTAAGGTGTTACTCGCCCCAAAAATACACTCTTATATCGTGTTTGTTTAGAATCTGCTTGATTTCTTCTGAAGGTTTCATTACGGTATGGTATGACTATGGTGTACTACCAAACTTTTCGTATACATTCTAGTTTAGTTTTTCTTTCATTTTTAATAATCTTCTTTCTATCAAACTATTCGTTTTAATCTTGAAGAATATTCGTATAAATATTCCATGTACGTTTAATATAAGTAGATATTTAGATAAAGAATTACTTACACCTAAAACATACATACTTAATTGGTTTGGATCACATAAAACATAGAATAGGTGACTTTTTTTAAAACTATTTCTACATACTACTAATAAGCAATGGAAAAATAACATATTACAATAATATGACTTAATCAATATATATATAGTAGGTATGTAGTTACACTCCACCTGTGGTCCCCCCCTATGGGGCTATTGCCGCTTTCAAGCCCGGATAAAGGAACAAGGTTGGGTGTGGGGTTAGCGACCCCATCCTGTAGAAAACTAACTCGGTAAAAAAAACGCTAACCAGAAAAAATGATTCGAACCATATAAACTCTGTTCTGGAAGTTAGAAGGTCTTCATTTAGAAGAGTTATGACATATAGTTACACTAAATATCTATTCAATCATTAGTTGATCTTTTTTTCTGTAGAATCGATTTAATCTATTATTAAAGTAAATGTTATTTTGTGTGATGTCTAAGTCTAATACTGAAATATAAGCTTCTTATAAAACTTGAGTGAGAATATCAACAGTCCTCAAATGCTCTGGTACGGCCGAGAGTGAAGAGAGTCAGCTCTCTTTCTCGAAATGCTCTCAAGTGGCCACGTGCATACAACCACTGTCAGGATAGTTCTACTCGCTTCCTTCTCGTGGCGGGGGTATTGTTTCCGAAATTTGGAGGATAATGTCCGGCGCTTTAACCGGGTTAGTGGATATGGATAATCCACTTAAGGAAATTGGGAAACCCTTATTCCAAACCAATAGTGCACATGGGGTCTAGTATCCTGAAGGGACAAAATGGCGTATGAACCTGTTGTTGGTAACCGGCTACCGTGAGACTGCATCTTCTGACGTTACTTCACTGCCCTGAGGATTAGATCTTTACGTCAAAGGCTCGAGATGTGACCCCCCAAGAACACCACCCGGACAGTATCCCGGCTTTCACACTAATCGAATGATTTATGTGGCACGTATCTTTTTGGTGTCTCCTTGTACCAACGTTTATGTATTTAATTAAATAAAAAACTAAGAACATCGACAGTCAGAAAAAGCTTTATGAACTAAAAGCGAATTAAGAATATATGTAAACTCATTCATAAATATACACCCTCTCCTCTCCCTTTCTTAAACCATGTATCCACATCTCCAACCAGTGGTATGTTCTGTCTTAGAAAAGGAAACCAGATCTTTTTCAGTAATGCGGGATTATCTTTTAACCTTTGTTTAATTGGCTCAATGCGTCAGTACGACACCGTGATAGTATATTATGAACAAAAACAGACTTCTGAACCAACGTCGATTCTAACGACTAAAATAATTACATAAAAACTATCTATGGTAATATTGGTGAAGTAGTAATATCTTAACATACGTATAGAGATTCATATAAGTTTGGTTTTTGTTACATATGAATTCTTATTCCATTGGAACGAATAGATGAAATCAGAAAAAAAGAACGAACTTATAGAAGCAGAACATAGTTAAATAATGAATTTATAGATAACATGCACTCGTTGAACTTTCTGAATTAAGTGGAACGTGAAAGAGTGAATATGTTGAAACAACTATGATTGTGTATATTTTTTTATACTGACTCGATCTCGTGTTACCTAGCTTCACAGTCAGAGACGTTACCACTGAGCTTTCCGGTCCACGAATGAACTCATATGGGACTGTAATGCAGGAAACCTAGGTCCAGGGTTTCCTGTAGACTACCTTTAACCACCATCTTATCTCAACATAGTGAACGCAATGTAGAGTCACCTAGACTGGTGGTCACATTGCAGCTCGGTTGATAGAATTCGATCTGCACTAAGAAGGAACTGACATAAATGACATTGATCACCATCCAGTGATCAATCAATTGTAAGTTTGAACACAAAACTCTTAGGTTTTAATCTTCCTTTAGATGTTTCAATTTCACTAGGAACGTTATATTACCAGTCCTTACATATAAAATTCAAGTATACCGACCTTTACTGGATCACAAAATTACACATATTACTGTCATTTCAACAGAAACTGTTTTCACACCTTTTAACATGTGCTGATTCATATACTGTTTTGTTTGTGGGTCCAGTATATCATACGGTGTAAGCTGTTCGGAAGGATCCTTGTAATGTCTAACATATACGAATCGTTTTATTGTTATAAAGCCTAATCAAAGCTATGGGTCACTTGTTATTTTTAAACTGTACATCTAAATTGCAATAATTTTTTATCCGGTAGATTTCTATCAGAAAAAGAGTTTGTGGATATTATAGTAATTAATTAGTGACTAGTGGAGTTCAACCAGGTTTGTTGTGAGGCAGTATCTCACTGAAGACAATGGTGGATGTGTTTAGTGCTTCTTCGTTTTTCATGATAGTCTTGTTTCGATTGACTCATGAAATCAACTTTTCAACTTTAGATTTCTACCAAGTAAATTATTCTGTATGCTAACAGTCTAATATATTCACATACTTTCATATAAAACTTACAATAGGCTATGAAGTTAGATACTGCGGAATCCATCATCATCACCTATTCTTTGAAGAAACTGCAGTTGATTTGTGCTCGAATTCATGCAATAATAGTTTTTGAATGTTCAATTGAATGAATAATTGTCTTTTTAAAAAAGAAGGCATCTTTTATAATTTTGTGTACATTGTGTTGACAATACTTTTCTTTAATCAAATGTATGATATAGATTACTTTGATAACATTCAAGCAGTTTCAACCCGTTTTTTCAGAAGAGTATTCACATTTATCAGTGGAGATTGTTGAGTTTTAATTGATATCATGAATAGATGAATGTTAGACCATTATTGAGAACCTAGAAGTACTGGACAGTTGTTTCATCCTAGTATGGAACTTCTCAACAGTGCGCATCTACAATCCAGCACGCAAAATACTGGCTCAGTGGTCTAGAGGTTAAGCATTCACCTGTGAGGTTGAATGTCCCGTGTTTGAGTCCCACCTGCGAGATCATGGATGTGCATTATTGAAGAGTCTCATGCTAGAACGAAACAGCTTTCCAATGCTTCCAAGTTTTCAATTCTGATCTACCATTCATCCATTCATGATATCAATTGATATGTGTATTTATGAATGGAACTAATTATAATCATTAAACAAATTGAATAATTCAATCATTCATTTTGTAATTTATGTATTTTTTCTTTATTTCACAGAGATTGGAAGAAAAATGTTCATATTGTATTAAGTGACCTATTTTCACTTATATTAGAGAATATGATAAATTATCAAAAGTAAGTATGAGTTAAAAAGAAAACCAAACAAAGAACTATCAGAAGGTAGTTTTGTGAAGATTTTAGTAATTTTATAGTTCAATTCATAAATCAATTGAAGTTAGATCACTATAGAAAGTCTGGAAACACAAGAGACTGTAAGGTCCTGGGTTCGAGTCCCATGAGGTGGGATTATAGTTGCTCACTACTGAGGAGTCTCATACTAAGACGAAATGATTGTCCAGTAATTCCAGATATTCCAGGATGATCTAGATTCACTTGACTTGTGAATCGCTATTGTTAAGTATTCTTGGACACCAATTCACTTGACAAGTCCCTAAATCAGAACACGGTTGAATAGGAAAGAAGTTATATTCTCAATAACAAAAGTATACGGACGCAAGAATCACAATAAGAGAAACATTAATATATTCATAGTTTTTACATGAGAAAATTATAAAGTCTTCTCCAAGTATCGACTAGCTCTGATTGAATAAGAAATAGTCAATCAGTGTGTACTAACGCGATCGTGCATGGAACATGCTTTAATCCAATTTATATTCCGCTAACAAATTGGATACTATCCTTATTCCAGTCTTAAGTTATCAGTATTATACTGTTTACCTAGTGCAAATTCAAATCGAAGACCAATAAGCTAGAAAATCACCATCCATTTATACCTAGAAGCATTAAAAAAAAACGTTATTTTCCAAGAAATATTCATGGAATTGGAATTTACAATTGAATTATTTCATTTCAAAATCCATGTTGTTGGTAATAATCGTTTAAATTCACCGAAGTTCAGTATGTATTAAGACTAGACTATGAACGTTTCATCATTACTTACTTACGCTTATTACCAGTCACCAGAATTTTCCATTCAACCCTGTCCTGGACAATCCTTTCCAGTGACTATTCATCCTTTTCATGTCTGCTACCAATTCTTGACGCAATGTGTTCTTCGACCTTCCTCTTTTCCGTTTTCTTTCAAGATTCCAAGTTAGCGCTTGCTTTGTGATGCAGTTTGATGATTTCTTCAATGTATATCCTATCCATTTCCAACGTATTTTCCTAATTTCCTCTTTTGTCAGAAGTTGGTTTGTTCTCCCATAGTAGGCTGTACGTTTCATTGAATTATTTCTGACCTTATATAGTATAAAGAGATTGGTATGAATCCTTGAACCCTTAGATAACTTGTTAGTTGAAACTTAAACAACCCTGATCAAATAGATACATTCAATAGTATTCGAACTCACGTCACTATGAGGACGGTTCACGGGTGAACTAGAGGAAGCCTTAGGAAGCTCAGAAAGAGCCAGAGATATTCCATCCAATCATCTTTTGGAAGAATATTCTAGAATCTCTATGTGTAGCTTCCAGACTGGACAATGCTAATAACCCCCTGTATGCGGATTGGATAGCTATAATGATGATTTCGTTTTTACTAAAAACTATAAATACATGACAGTTTGTACTTTAATTTGACACTGTCTGGAAAAATATTCCTTTCACTAGTCTTCTGTTTTCTCATTGTAACTAAGAAGGGTTCTAGCGTTCAAGTGCTCAAGTTATACGCGTCATATCAAAAATATAAGCATCTAGAGATATAACAGTCACCTTAGTGTCATAGTTAAAATTTTTATTACTGTTCTATTCAGACTAAATAAGTGCTTTACCTTGAGGTTATTCGAAGTATATACTGAAATTCAGAACCTGAAGTACAATTCTATTATCAAAATCCCCTTTATTTATGTTACATTGTTTATTTATTTAAACAAAATAACATTGGTACAAAGGGGCACCGAATAAATATGCGCTTCACAAGTCACTTGATTTGTATGTGGGCTGTAATACTGCCCGGGTGCCCAAACCGAAGCAGGTGGTTTTCTTAGGAGGCCACGCCCCGAGCCTTCGATTCAAAGGTTTGATCCACAAGGCAGTGGAGCAACGTAAGGAGATGTAATCACATGATAGCCGTTGACGAACGATTGATTCATACGCTATTTTTTCCTCAGGATACTGGAACCCATGTGCACCATTGGTTTGGAATGAGGGTTTTCCAACTCCCTTAGATGGATTCTCCGTATGCATTAAACCGGTTAAAGCGCTGGACATTCGTTTTTCGTTCTTCCTATTCCCTAAGCAATACCCCCACAACGAGAAGGAAGTGAGTAGAACTCTCCTGACAGTGGTTGTATGCACGTGGTCACTTGAGACTATTTGAGAGAGAGAGAGAGATAACTATCTCCACCGTCGACCATAGCAGGGCATTTTAAGGGGCTTTTTTTCCAACCTGATCAAAGATTTATGCTTATTTGGATAAATTAAAAATAATACGAATTCGACTTAATTTTGTGGATTTTCTTCAAATGCTTCGTCCCATAATCTAGATTAAAATATATTATATATTCTTCTCCTTCTCTCCTGCTGGTTTTCAATATTACTATCGATTAATAGTGTTAATGCTTGATAAAGATCACATGGGACAAATTAAGACCTTTACAAGGTGTTATGTTTTATGAACAGCATGACTTAGTCGTTCGACATTACAGCTGTGTAATGTACCCTTTAAAAATAGAGGACATTATTGGGTTACTAATTGTTGTGATTAAATTCCAGTGTTCCCTCATACACATACATTTCCACTCTGTTTTATCGAACTATATCACGAATGTGCACTTGTTCCCATTATCATAGCTACTACATTATTTCGATATCCTTTGAAATCAGTCTTAATTTCATCCGGTCATACTAATGTGATATGGAGAGTTGAGTTAGCTCTCATCTATGTTGACAGTGATTATTTGATTATAGATGATTTAGAGGGAATAGTTGCTTTTTTGAGACCATCAACTGATTAAGGTGTAGTTTTTGAATAGAGTAGTAGACAAAGTTGTAGGGTCAGTTGATAACGTGATGAATTTTCGTCAAATGAGATGGTTGGAACATGTATTAAGTACCATTAACCACCGCCTACCGCTACATATGGTATTTACTTGTGTAGGAGAACCACCAAACCAAAACGTGGCATCAGTTCACGGAATCATTGACTGTTAGGTTAAACAATTTTGTTCGATAAAGACTCAATCAGTCAGCTGCAACGTAGGACCAGGCACATATATGCGTCTGTCCAAGTTGCCATATCTCACTCATTAGCACAATAGGATGAGCACGAAATTCATAGAAGTAGTTAATTCAATGGTGGTAATATATAAAGAAAGATTTTGTATAAGGATATAGTACAGGAACAAAGAATTAGTTCGTAGATAGAAAGATATCAAGCAATTTTAATCTCATAGTTTAAGGGAAGACAGAGAGTGTATACACCTACCTTGCATCTAACCTGACTATTACTTATCCGGTGATGCCAGCAGATGCGCACAATATTTCTAAGTCATCTATGATCAAATGCTAGTAGTTTACGAGTATCTTCTACTCTTAATGGCCGCGTTTTGCAGCCGTAAATTAGAACAGAACGAACTGTCGTGCACTAAACTTGTCCTATTATTGATAGACGGATATCTCGCTGTCACCATAGGTGAAATAAGTTGGCGAAAGCCAAACAAAATTTTTGATTCCGTGTTGAGATTTTGTCAGATACCAACCTATTAGGACTGATCCGACTTCCAAGATAAGTGAAGTTATCAACACGTTCGACTACATTACTCCCCATCCTTAGTTCAGGTGTTGACGCAGACCAGTCCTGAAGCAACAACCTGCCTTTTGAGACGGAGAAACGCTTCCCAAACATTCTGGTATTGTTGCTCAGTGCTATCAAAGGACTCGGAATTTTGTCAGCATGTTCACTAAACGGGACTATGTCATCTTCATATTCTAAGTCGATAAGTGGACCTTTTGGTAGGAGATCAATGCCCGGAATTTTAGTCGACGAGAACGTTCTTCCTATCAATATGTCTATGATGAAGGTGAAAAAAAATGGAATAAGTTGACAGCCTTAAAGGATAAAGACTATCCGGTTGATGTCCTTGTAGTTGATAAATTAGTGTTTGAATATTTTTGGTGGTATAGTTCTTTGTTTCTTGAGTTTTAGACTTATACTGCATATATATAGAATGCTGGTTGGAATTCGCAGATGACCTAGCCCTCCTATCACATACAAACAAATCCAGATAAAAACAGCCAGTGTTACGGCAGTCTCTACATTAGTAGGCCTCAACATACACAAGGGGAAAACCAAAGTCCTCAAATACAACACGGAGAACAGCAATCTAATCACACTTGATAGAGAAACTCTGGAAGATGTGGAATCCTTCAAGTACCTGGGAAGCATCATCGATGAACAAGGAGGATCAGATGCATATATAAAGGTGAGGATTGGCAAAGCAACGGCCGCATTCGTACAGTTGAAGAACATATGGAACTCAAAATAACTTTCAACCAATATCAAAGTCAGAATCTTCAATACGAATGTCAAGGCAGTTCTACTGTACGGATCTGAAACTTGGAGAACTACTACAACCATCATCAAAAATGTACAAGAATTTATAAAGAGTTGTCTACTCAAGATACTCAACATCTATTGACCGGATACCATCAGCAACAACGTTCTGTGGGAGAGAACAAACCAACTTCCAACTGAAGAAAAAATTAGGAAAAGACGATTGAAATGAATAAGACATACATTACGGAAATCATCAAACTGTATCACGAGACAAGCCCTAACTTGGAATCATGAAGGGAAGCGGGAAAGAGAAAGGCCAAATAAAACATTACGTCGGGAAATAGAAGTAGATAAAAAAGGATGAATAACAACTGCAAAAAATTGCTCAAGACAGGGTTAGATGGAGAATACTGGTGAGTGGCCTATGCTTCTTCACGAGGAGTAACAAGCGTAATTAAGTAAAGTTGGCGGCTTATACTCCTCCACGCAAGGGTAACTTGATGATTGGAAACATCTTTACAGAGTTTCAACATAGAATGAATTCTTTATTCAATACTCGTTATATTTCCATAATTAATTTGCTCTCCAACGAAAATTATATCCCCATCATAGAATACTCTTTATGAATCACTAATGAAATATGATCTTGATCCATTCAATATTGTACAATTTAATTCACTAGATCTTTTTGTTTATTCAAGTTAAGCTATTAATATTCGTGTTTTTTTTTTCTTATTCCTTTCAATATTACATTCTATAGAGTACCACAATTTCATTTATATTCATGTCATGATTCATCAATTATGTTATTATTATTTGGTTTAAATGTATTCGATGGTTGTTGGCCACCATTTGCTGCTGATATTATATTTGAATTATATACAACAGCATCAACATCATCACCGTCATCGCCATCATCATCATCATCAACCAATTTATCCATTATGAAATCTAATACATTACATTCAGATAATATTTCATTAACAAATGATAATCTAAATGATTTATGGTTTCGTTTAATTTATCTTGGTAAACCATTATCATTAAAAATATTATGGGATTTATCATATTCTAATCATGATCATGATCTCGATCATTATCAATTATCTGATTATACAATGATACCATTCAAAGTATTATATGAATATATTAATAAAGCTAAAAAATTATAATGAATCTTAATTAGAATACAATAATAAGTATGTATAACTATTTGTGTTATTATTTGTTTATTGTTTTGTTTTGTTCGTTTGTTTGTTTACTTGTTTTCTTTCTGTTGATTTTTTTTATTGATTTATTGATGAAGAAGAAGAAAAAAAAAGGACGAAACTATGTAGAAATTAATAATGGAATGATTTTTTTCCTCTTTTTTTGTTCTTTCTAGTTTTTGTTTTATTATCCATATGAGATTTATTTCCCTAGCAACAATATGATTATTATTATTATTATTTGTATGGATTTATATATTCGTTTGTTTTTAATTGATTTCCTTATTTGAATGTATCATTTTTATGTCCTTGAATATTGACCATCATATTTGAGTGTATTATTCCTGTTTCAATTACACACACACACTCTCCCTCCGTCTATCCCTAACTAAGTCCCCCCCCTCCCTCCTTCCCTCCCGTTCATGAGTATACTTGTTCGATCCTTATCCTAAATGAATAACACATGAATCCACTATTAATGAATTAATTTTTTGTTTGTTTTTTCTTTTAAAATTTAGAAAATGTATTTAAGTAGTATAATAAAATTGATTTTTGTTTCTTTTTTTTATCACCCTTCTTTTTTCTTTCTTTTTCTTTCTTTCTTTCCTTCATTGATATTCATTCATTCTATGATATGAAACTAAGTGTTATATATTGTCTAGAATGATTTAATGAAGTCATTAAATTCATATTTGAGGTTATTGTAATCACTTTACTACTCAATTCTAATACTAACAAGATGATTTCATTTGATTATTTAAAAGAAGTATGAAAGTTTCTATAGATGAATCTATAGAAGGATCATTATCCATGATCTATGAATCGTAACTTCATACTGAATTAGAGATATATGTTAGCTTCATGATATTTACCTTATGTGTTTCAATAGTTATTCATTTGACTGATTAGATTTTGTATTTTCTAGAGAGAGAAACAGGGGAGAAAGATTTATTTATATAAATTACAAGTATTATATTTCTTTATAAACATTTGTTTTTTTCACTGATTGAAATCATGAGTCAATTGAAGCTAAATCACCATGGAAAACCTGGAAGCACTGGACGGCTGTTTCATCCTAGTATGGGACTCCTCAGCAGTGCGCATCCACAATCCCGCCCTCTGCGAAATTTGAACCCAGGACCTATCAGTCTCGCGCCAAGCGCTTAATCAATTAGACCCCTGAGCCAGCATCCAATGGTGTTAATGTGTGAATTCAGCCAATCCACGAAGTTACGCCACCGTACACCATTGTCTTCAGTAAGTTCATATTTCACAACAGACCTGGTTGAACTCCACTGGTAACGGTTTCTCACTAGAACTCCAGGAAATGCCTCTTGAAGTGAGTCACTAGTGAGTAGATGATTATTATCAGTAGGGGTTTGTGGAGATTTCAGAAATTTTACAGATTGAAATTATGAGTCAGTTGAAGCTAGACCACCATGTTTGTTTTCATTATTATAAAAAAGTTATTAGAAAATTGTATACGTTTATAATTGAAATGATAAATGAGATGTGTTAATCAGGTGTGAATTACATTTTGCAAGATCTATTTAGCAAAGTTGTTGTTCTATGAGATGGGATTGTTGACCTCATACCCTACCCTCTTGCTTTATCTCTGCTTGAGAAAAGCAGTGGATAGGCTACATATTGAGAAAACCATCAAAATGCATCATAAGGCATGCGCTAAATATAAATCTTGAAGTGAAAGGAAAAAGAAGAAGGTCAAAGAACACATTGCGTCGGAAATTGGAAGCAGATATGAAAAGGATGATAAGCAACTGGAAAGGATTGTCAAGAAAAGATATCGATGGAAAATGTTGGTGGGACGCCTATGCTCTTCCATATGAAGTAACAGGCATATGTATGTAAGACTGAATTATTGATATAACTCCTCTTGAATAGAATCATATAGAGATTTAAGACAATTTTCAGCAAAATACTTTTGTTTGTCTGCTAAGTACAAAATAAACATGATTAGATACCAATAGTAAATATATTCTTGTTATATTTATTTACTTTGAATAAGTGGCTTACAATAAGTCAGATATATATAATTCTCCTACTCATTGGGATATTATTATTTACTTACTTACGCCTATTACTCCCGATGGAGCATAGGCCGCCGACCAGCATTCTCCAACCTACTCGGTCCTGGGCCTTCTTTTCTAATTCCATCCAATTCTTGTTCATTTTTCTCATGTCTATTTCCATTTCCCGGCGTAATGTGTTCTTCGGTCTTCCTCTTTTCCTTTGGCCTTAAGGATTCCATATGAGGGCTTGTCTTGTGATACAGTTTGGTGCTTTTCTCAATGTGTGTCCTATTCACTTCCAATGATTCTTTTTGATTTCTTCCTCCGCCTGAGTCTGGTCTGTTCTCTCCCACAGTAGATTGTTTCTGATAGTGTCTGGCCAATGGATCCGAAGTATTTTGTGTAGACAACTATTAATGAACACTTGTATGTTCTGGATGATGGCTTTCATAGTTCTCCAAGTTTCCGCCACATACAGTAGAACTATCTTAACATTTGTGTTGAAAATTCTGACTTAGGTGTTGGTTGACAGTTGTTTTGAGTTCCAGATGTTCCTCAGTTGTAAATATGCAGCTCTTTCTTTGCCGATCCGTGCCTTCACATCTGCATCATATCCGCAGTGTTCATTAATAATGCTGTCCAGATATGTGGAGGTTTTTACATCTTCAAAAGCTTCTCCGTCAAGTAAGATTGGGTTGGTGCATGATGTGTGTATCAGAGAATCTTGATTTTCCCTTTGTGTATGTTGAGACCTTCTGCTGCTGAGGTTGCTGCTACACTGGTTGTCTTCTCCTGCATTTGTTGTTGCGTGTGCGATAGAAGAGTCAGATCATCTGCGAAGTCTAGATTGTCCACCTCCATCCTAGATATCCGCTGTATCCAGTGCTTCTCCCTAGATGCTGACATCTTCATGATCCAGTCGATCACTAGGAGAGACAGAAAGAGTGAGAGTAAGTAGCCTTGCGTGACACTGGTCTTTACACCGAACGAGTCTGTCAGCTGTCCTCCATTCACGATTAAGCAGTTTAATCCGTATGATATTGACTATTTTCTGAGGCACGACGTAGTGTCGAAGAAGCTTCCATAGTGTTGTTCTGTCCACTCTATAAAATGCTTTCTCGTAGTCAATGAAGTTGATGTAGAGTGATGAATTCCATTCAATTGATTGTTCCACAATGATCTGTAATGCTGCGATTTCGTCTGGGATATAACAAAAATATATTTGGTATTAACTCCTTAGTTCAACCTTGGTATTTATATTTATAAATGAAAGCTATTCGTTATCATGGGAAATCAAGAAATGTTTGAATAGTCAACAATTACTGAACTATTGCACCTAACTTTCTTGTCATTTTTTAAACGTTTCCTAGACTTTTCTAAAAACAACAATTATATAAATAGTCAAATGAAAATAAACGAACTTTTCTGTATATAATTACACCTACATTGATATCGTTCAACTTGAACTCACGTGATTGATATGCTCATTTGAAGCTTCTTCCAATGTGAAGTTTTATTCATGCGTTACTGATGTACTACGGTTACAGATTAATAAAATAACATCTATGAAGATGGTGTCATGGAATAGTGAAATGACCTCACAATAAACAATGAGACATCGATTTACAAACACTGTTTGTACCTTAATATGCGAGTATAGTCACTGTGATAACTTCAAGTTACTGAATAAATTACTTGCTTACTTACGCCTGCTACCCCTCGTAGAGGTGCATAGGCCAGCCACTAGTACTCAGCATCCAATACTGTCCTGGGCATTCCATTCCAGTTGCCATTCATCCTTTCATGTCTGCTTCCAATTTTTGACTCCGTGTGTTCTTCGACCATCCTCTTTTCCGTCTCCCTTCAGGATTCCAAGTAAGCGCTTGCTTTGTGATACAGTTTTATGATTTCTTCAATGTATGTCTCATCCACTAACAACATCTTTTCGTAATTTCCTCTTCAGTTGCAAGTTGGTTTGTGCTATCTCACAGTAGGCTGTTGCTGATGGTATCCGACCAACGGACATTCAGTATCTTATGCAGACCACTGTCTACCAATACTTGTACATTCTTGATGTTGATTCTAGTAGTTCTCCAAGTTTCAGCTTCATACAGTAGAACCGCGTTGACGTTCGTATTGAAGATTGTGACTTTGATATTTGTTGATAATTGTTTTGAGTTCCATATGTTCTTTAGTTGTAGGAATGCGGTTATTACTTTGCCAATCCTTACTTTTACGTCTACATGAAGAAATTACCTGTTTATTAAATACTTAGCTTACTGTGTATTTAGATTATTTTAACTGTAATATTTAATGTAACTTGTAGCGTTGCGTCGAGTAGCGGTTGACTATGATCACTACAGGGAGACTACGTGCCAATTACCAGGTTAGATCCCTCCGTAGACCGAATTTCAGAAGGCAATTAAAGATCGTAGTAAGATGTATTTTTTGGCGATCATGTGGTATCGAAATAATACCGAGATCGTGCCAAAGTTTACAAGCGGGACTGCTGAGTGTACACGGGTCCGTACAAGGTCAACAGAAGACAACAGAAGAATGTGTGTTTTCGGTACACTTAAACAAACAGGTAAAGTAAAACAATCACTGGTACAATTGGTTAGAATGATAATTGTTTCCATTATGCCAATCGCGTTCTCTTCATAAAAGTAGGTCACTACAAGTGTAATGGTGACAATGTTTCATGTTTGTATGACTAAACACTGCAACATCATATGATGTATTCACTTTGTACAAAGGCTAATCGCGAAACATGTTTAACCTAAATGTGAGTCAAGGGATCATGTTTGCACTGAGTTTCATACACGTCGTCGGACAATTTTTCTGAGATTAGGCAGAATGACAACTCTAGCCGCGTATATTAAAATAAAATGACCATGCTGCACTCCTTTTGATGGATAACTTCTCCATTGAATT